TCCACTTGGGTTTGGAGACCTCTTTGCGCATTGGGATTGAGATCCTTGGTTATTGCTCTTTCTTTCTAAGACTTGTACTACTGTTGACTCGTCTAGATTTTTCTTTGTGTGTCAGGGCTTTTATTTTCATCATGGCTGCTGTTGATGCCTGGTGAGGGCAATGGGGGCTTGGTACCACTTGGGTACTGTGCAAGGGGTGAGCTCCCCTGGAACAGCAGCTTGCGAGCTGAAAGGTAAACCAGGCACTTCGGGTGATGGGGGAATGCATGGCATTCATTATTTTTGAAGAACTAATCAGTTACAGTAGCAGGGAAACAAATGCAATGTTGAGTTTCACTGGCTGGTTTTTCAGAGTCCTACCATGCAAATACAACTTTTTTATTTTATAGTCTGGACGGAATAATCTGAATAATTTAAGGCTTTTTAGTGAGATGTTCTGGGCGCTTCGCCAATCTACGAAGCGGTTCATTTATTGAAATGTCCTTAAAATTAGTTTCAGATGTTTTAGTGGGCATTGAAATCTTTTTGGTAAGGGACTGAGGAGTCGCCGGGGATGGAGGCTGAGAGGGGGGGAAAAAAGTACACAGTGGAATGAAACTGGTGGAGCATCCAGGGTTTTGGGACCACTGGTGTGAATTGCAAACAGCTGTTTGCTGTGATCATGTTTAGACTTCGCTTTAATATGGCATTTCTAGGGATTCACGCTGGGCTTGCACGAGGCTGTGCCTTATCTGGAGGTCTCTGCTCGAGAGCAGCGCGTTTGCTGTTTGCTGGAGGGGTGTTAATTATCTCTGTTGTGTTTTGCTCTACACCACGGCTGAAAATAGAAGCCTGGAGTGTGACCTGGGCTCAATGGATCCAGTGGTCTGTGTGAACTGGTTTTGTTCTGTCAGGTTTTGGAAATCTGTTAAAAAAAATAAAACCTGCTTGAACAAATAAAATGGTAAGGTTTTTTGCAGGGGTTTGTGGTTTTTTGTTTGGGGTTTGTTTTGGTTTTTTTTTTGATTTGCAATTTTTCTACAA